AGTACAGTGCTGTAAATACAGCCAGATCCGAAATGGCTTTCCTACAAGAAAATGCAGAAAATAACGAGCTTCAAGCTGAAATACATTAGATTCTTTTAAACGTATATCTTCATACATTTCTACACTAAATACTATACTAGTATGATGATTGTTGCTTAAAGTGCGCGAGAAAAGTTTGAACTTCTTTTTATTTGACTTTTTCTGTCAGCAACATGGCACGTATCTTTCAGTATATTGAGATAGAAAGAACACGTGGAGTTTTACCGAAGTTTATTTTTTCAATTTCTTGTTTGCACTTATTGTAGATAAATAACTCTCATCAAAACCGAACGCATAATGCATGGCAATAAAAAGCCTGGCAAGTCTGGTACTGCCGTGTAGCGTTTGAAGAATTACAGTGCATGATTTCAGCGACATGATGTTACCCAAGTTAACGTAAAATCAGAATCGACTAGTATACGGACAAGTCGGAAATGTCGAAAATTCTTTTTCGACCAGTCGAAATTTTTGCCGACCAGTCGGTATGTAGTCGGATTATCGACTAGTCGGAATTCTTAACTAGCCGAACGGATCAACATCGGCTGATCGCCGTTTGACTAGCCGTTAACTAGTCGATCAGTTTGCGACTAGTCGAAATCATAAAGTCACTCATTCACCGTTTTCTTTGCTTGTTTGTACTACTGACTAGTCGTAGTACAAACATACAACACCGAAACAATAATTTTGACTAGTCGGTTGATAGTGGGAGTTGAACCAGTCAGAACATGATACCTGACTGATTTATAATTCTACTAATCGGTCGATTTTCAGTCGATTTTACTGTTTATTCTCTCAGTTCGCAAGTAGTGGAATGGTGTGGTCCCCGAAATGGCGTAAAAAATATGCTGACATATATGATAATTTGTGAAAAATTGTTCAGAAGGAAAGAATTGTTTATTAACTCATCCTTCTATATTCGAATCCGTCAGATGCCCTTCGACTATCACGTCATTAACTTGGGTGGTGGACAGTGAATGTTGACACATGACAGAAAGAGGAAGAGTTGAGGGCGCACGGCGGCAAGGTAGTCATAAAAAAATTAACAGATGTTAAAGTTACCTCTCGAAGTTTAGCTTACGAATGTGTTTAGCTTGAGATATACATATTAAGTTTTCTCTTGTATAACGAATTGCACACATTGACCGACACAGTCATCTTTCAGATTTTGAATTTTTAAGGATAGCTAGCTACTTTTAGTCTGATTTATTTCAACCAATGAAAAATTGTGACTGAAACTCTACAGCAGCCAACGTAATGGTACTGAGTGCATTAATGAACTATCTTCTTTGATAGTATATATACTATTAAACAAAATAGTTCCTCGTTGAGATGGTTTCCATTCAGTGAAGCGCGCATAACCCAGGTACCATAAGTCTATTGCTGTATGAGCACACAGCAATCTATAGTGCGAATTCCACTTTTACATTGACAGTATTTGTCTAATATCGGTTCATCACTGGCAGCTTGATCATATTTAATACAAACGAAATATTTTGTACTATTTTGGTGACGACTTTGTATTCGACAGCGTAATAGATTATCTTTGTCGATAACTCGACATCAAAATCACCATTCTCATCTAAATGTGATGTAGCATATGCTTTACTTTGTTTAATTGATAGCTGCCACATGTAAAGCGACGTAAATATTCTAAACTGAGTTGTGGACAGTCTGTACCACAACCTTTCATTGAAATCCATTTTTTTTGAAGAGACAAGCGTAAGATGTAATTCTTCTGAAAGGTCACTTGTTGTATTTTGTAATTCTAAGATTTTTTGTGCTATGCGCTGATGGTTATGAGAGAAAGCGTCGTATAATATTAGTCCATATGTGTTTATACAAGATGCAAGAACTCGAATGAATAGATTTATACTTGGTAGAAATGAATTGTTGATACGTTCGGAAAAAAATCTCCATTTCTTAATCAAGGTATGAAACGATTCCACAATCCACCGGCATTTAGTTACTAATCTAGTAGTATTTGCTTCATCTAAAGCCAGCTGTTTGCTTCCTCCTTCCATTAGGCCTAGCATTTTTACGTCATATCCTAATTCCTTAAAATGTTGAGCAGTGTCTCGAAAACCACGATCAACGATTTGAACATCACCATCTTCTGTTAAAGTATTTAACTCTTATATTGTCCTTAGGATATATTTATTTATGGTTGCATCATTGTCCGTAGCGTAGAACGGTCCAATTACATCTAATATGTAACCGTCTGGGAAAACTTACGACATAAACTTAACGGGATTACGATATTTTTGCCCAGAAAATGTCGAACGTTGAAGTCTGTGATCGTTACTTTTATGAATATAAAAGTAAGTCCCATCCCAGATGTGTGAGCGTCGTCTTTGATTCAAAGTCATCGATGATCGTTCGCAGATATAAGTTTCTAAAGTCACCGTACGTATATGGGTGAATTGTACTGATAATGTACGGTTTGACGTAAAAAATCGAAGAAATAAACGTGAATATAAAGCAATTTTGCACCGTGCATTCGATAGAGCTCTATTAGTTGTATATAAATCAGATATTTTCCCAACTGTCAGTGTTTTCGTTTCAAAAGAACTGCTCGTATGGTGTATTATCATTTCATTTTTACTGTAGGTCTTGAAACATTTAGTCCTTCTCGATACACTATGACAGGAGCAGAGCAAATTGTTCGATCCAAACTAAGTTTTCTCTTAATAACCTGTGATGAATCAAAAGTCGGTAGCATTGAGAATCTCTAGAAATAATTTTCCAGTTTTGCCAATCAATACGATGACCAGTTTCATAACTATGGCTGAAAATTGCGGAGTGGAAGAATTCCAGAGAATCAGGTGTTACTTCTTTCTTTTGCGCACAATAAATTAACAAAGGCAAAATGTCGAGATTTAAAGCTGCTGTAAAGAAAAATATTAAGATACAAACAGTGACTTGACACAGTGCCTTTTTTGTTTAGAGAAATCACAAACCAAATAATCTTAAATTAAGCGATAAACTAACAGATTCTGACTCTTGCAAACTCGTAGGTTATTTTCAGTAATCCAAATCTATTTAAGGCCATGCTGAGTCTTTCAACGTTTTTCCATCAAAGTCAAACTCTCAGATAGATCAACTTCTGCTTTCTAAAATGAGACTGATAGAACGTAATTTCTGCATTTCTACCCCTTCATCAAAGAAAAGCGCTGTATGATTATTTCGTGAAAAGTACTTTTGTTCGTAAAAACAAGGAATTTTAACAGTTTCGTATAATCCTATTGTGTCTGAAAGTAGCACGAATCTCCCAGAGAAATTATATACCAGGCTATTTATAACAACTCTCAAAGACTACAATTTTTCATCAGAAAAAAATTGTCTGGATGTACTTATAGCATCTTACTATAAGTTCGTTATAGTTGTAACCGGGCGACTACGACTTCGACCTCAAGACAGTTGGCGAGTTTCACATCAAGTAATTTTGGTGACTAGCACTAGGCTTTCTGAATAAGTTACACCGTAGTTTCAACGATTTCAATACACTAAAAATCTAATCAAGTGAGTTTTGCGTGTGCAAAACAATGTCTTACTCATAATAATGTCATGTTTTCAAAAGACACAACGCATACTCCTTTAATCACGTCACATCATTTTTTCTTTCTTTCCATATTAACATAAATATTTTTTTCTTTTCTATAAAGCCTCACACATAGTAATACTCTCTCCCGTTTTCCATTGCCATTCTTTTTTCTCTTCACACTGACAAAAATGTCTACATACACTCTACCTTTTGAATTGTGGCAAGCAATCTTTCGGCATCTACCATCATTTGAAGACTTGGTACGCACCTCTCATGTCTGTCGTCTATTTTATCGTTTGATTTGGAATGAATTATTTCTCGGCAAATATTTTAATGATGTCCGTAAAGACCTGCTAATTTGGGTTAACTTCACAAGTTCGCGCAACCATCTACACAACGTATTGGAACCATCTGTTCAAGAAACTCATAAAGAATTGATTCCGGGGATTGAAGAAAATGGTTTCTTTAACCATGGTCCATGTCTGACTTTTCCACAAGCGTTCGGATCACTTTCTGAATCTTATAAATTGAGTAATGCTCAGACTGACTCGTCGTCATTTTCAGTTTCGTTCTGGATCAGACCATCAAGCGTCTCTCATACATATGTCCCACTAAGTTTTTGTTTTCTTGGGAACAATGACAGCTTATTACAGTCTATGCAGTTTTATATAAATCAAGAAAACCACACTTCTCGACAAGTTCTCGAATTCCGTTGCAGGGATCAGCGATTCTATGAACTACTGGGAATGATGGAGCCCACTGAATGGAATCATGTGGCAGTAACTTTTGCCTGTCCGACAACGGCTTTACAGGTGTATTTTAACGGTGACAAAAAGCTGAAGTTTCAGGCACAAGCAGTTAAGGAAACCTCTATTTTTGGTTCTGTAAAAATGGCATGCCAGTTTCGAAAGCTCGCAAGTTTAGCTGATATTGCAATGTGGAAGAGAACTCTGCATCCAATTGAAATTCGTGCAATTTATGAGCAAAAAACTACGATCGAAAAAGTCAGTGTAGCGAAATATGTTCTGGATGGAACGAGAATAAGTCGGCGAGGGACAGATAGCTGAAAAGATTTTATATCAAGAGTTTTCTCTTTTAATTCCAGTTTCTAAATTGAAACAGTGTACTGTTGTTGTTACTTTAATCCAAAACATGAAACCAGTACATTGACTGGATAAACCAATTGATGTCTATGGTGATAAGTTAACTGATATTCTAGTCACGTATTGGCAAATGAATTCTGTCTCTGCTTTACTATTTTCATTCTTCTTTCAGGAATATTTTTGACATCATTTTGTTGCAAGAAAAAATGACGTTTTAACAAGAAAACAAAAATGAGTGAATTTTGTTTTTTCTGTTCTTTGGTTTAACTCATAAAAAGTAAATTTTAAGGTGAATTATTTGTATCTAGATCATTATAGTATAGTATAGAAATGAACCAACAAAATAAGAAAGAAAAAAAGGAAAATCCTAACAAATCTTATAATATATAGAAAATTCCTATTCATTAGCAAAATCTTAGTGTAGAGTATTATGATAAATGCAAAATATTCACATGACAGTGACAAATAAAATGAAATGAAGGAGAATAATTCTGCTTTTATTGAAGTATGATAATTGATCACTAACTAATGGTAATGGTTCATTAATTACTTTTGTCGGATCAAGATCAACATGCACATTTTGTCCTAATATATGTTCATTTTTAGAAAATGGTCTAAAAAATTTAGTTCTTTTACCTGAAAATCATGTTATTGCATTTAATATTACTTATATGCATTGTACAAGTGTATCTCTACTATAAACTATGAATTCATTTCGTACAAGTCCTTTAGTTGTTATACGGATGAGCTCAAAAGGGGTAGAATATTAAAAAATGGTCTTTTTGCAGATTAGTTTTCTCGT